AAATATTGAAAATTTACAGCAGAGTTAACATTTAATAATGATTACATTTGAAATTGGTAATTCTTGAACCACAGCCCACTCTTAAGAATTGTAACATGTACTGTGTCCCAAGCACCGCACTGTGGGAAGTTTTAAGAACAATTCTTCCAATGGATACTCCCTCTAAATTAGATGATCAAGTATCAAAAACTCACAGTGGCCATTTTAAAGGGGGTCCTCTTTGTATATTTATGCTTTTTGGGTGTCTGCTTCAGATATTTCCATTTAAAGATGCAGGGATGTGATAAATTTTGCACACTGCAGAAGCATACAGATCAGATGGTGGGACTGGCTATAAACCCCTCGGCGTGCATACTATGGCCAAATTTGGTTTTGTTAACATGTATGCAAAGCCTGGATGGGTTTGGAACATCAGTGGCTCTGCTATCCCGAACATTTATCGGGACAAAGGCACAACTTTAGTCTATTTGGAAAAAAATAAAAGTGGGGCTTCAGAAATATCGCTCAGTGTTTGGAAATACTTTCATGCTGATCGTTCACGTAATCCAAGACATTTGGCTGATGCGCAGCCACCATTTTGAGATGAGACAATAGCAATATATTTAGTAGCATTTTAATGTGGTTGAGTCTTACCAGATGCATTCATACAGTAATAGCAGCATATGCTTTAATTTATCCATACATGGAAAATACAGGTGGATAGGTGTCCATGTCAGCACGTGCGTATAAAAGGTTTGTGGAATAGTTTAAATTCTCATGATGTTGCTGTTACAATAGTTAATTGCAAACCTGATTTCCTATTGAAATGGTGTTTGTTTATTCAGTTTATAATGGTGCAGTAGGTCTTAGAAGACAGTAATATTATAAAATTTATTTCAAATTTCTTTCCTCAACCATTTCAGCCTCATAGCTTTACATTTAAGCACCCTCACTAACATATGCCTCATTGGAGACTGTATTTAGCATCTACAAATGAGATGCAACTAAAATTTATATGATCAGATATGATCTCATTAATTTCAAGTAAAAAACCTGGACTATATCGATTATCAGTACGTACTAATCACCTTTTAAAAGGCTATTTTACTTGTCTGTTGTTAAGATTAAAAATACTGTTCTTGGATTCAACAGTCCAGAAGCAGCCTCTGAAGACAGAATGAACTTATTTCCATTGGCTCAAACTTTATATACCTATCTTTCCCTCTCCAAGAAATTCCTTAAGTTTTACCTTTTCTTAAATACTGTTCTTGTTTTTAGGTATTTATACCGCATGATATCATTTTTGATACTTCTTATATTGCCCCTCGGCACATTTCTATGAAATTGGGACATTGTTTCTAATCTACGCACAGGGAGAGAAAAGCCAAATTGACTTAAATTTTCAAAAAAACAATGTTTAAATTTGAACTCAATTGCTGATATCATAAAGTGACTTTAAAAAGTGAGTAACCAATGCCATTCAAATGAGGAACAGCACACATTTTATTGATCTACAGAACACAGAGAGGACACCACAAGCTAATGTACAATCCTCTAGAACTATTCATCAAAACTTTGATTTTAGCCTTAACAGTTTAGGAATATAATGATAATGCTGGGGCATATTCCCCCATGTCCTATGGTTTGCTCACTAAAACGATGGGATGAAGTAGATATTTGATGTGGCAGTCCATGAGGTGCTCCATGGAGGCATTTCATTGGAATTAGCAGTAGGTTTAGTGAAAAGAGAACCTATGGTCTTGGTTCTGCTTATAGCCATCTGCCCGTCACTTCTTCCCTTAAGTCAAAATCCTGGCGCAGGATTGAACTGCCTTGGGATTCAGCCCCTAAAATTCCTAGATTCCTAAAAGCTTTCTTGAAATTGTGGGAATTGGAGAAGTGATTGCCTGATGGTTCCGCTGCCCCTTTCTTGAACTTTGCATACAAACTTTCAAAGACCTCTATCATTTGAGGGAAACAAAGGCTTTTATTGTTTTTAATGTCATCCTATTAACAACTTAAGAAAAAGCATTGTTTATATTGGACCCTCTTTTTAAATGAGGAAAAACAAGATAACTGGCTTCAGCTAACTTTGCAGTAACGTTCCTCACTTAACGCAAGTCACGTTTTTAAGGAATAATTTGTATTTATAATTTTATATATACCGGACTTATGCTCATGATTCCTTACACTGGATTAAGTTCTTTTTTGTATTCTTATTCAAAAATAAGTCAGACCTCATGTGTTTAAGCTTGCAGTTAACAGGAGTTTGAACAAAAGCCTTTACTTGATGGATCTGGAGCAGTATGATCCCCTGAATGATACAGATCTTCCAAGGGTCATGGCTGCTAGAGTGGCTGTAGGATGCAAAAGAGGCTTGTTGTTACTCAGATTTGTGGGGATTAAAACCTATGGAAGAGAATGGAAATACTTTCTTCTCTGGAACAAAGCCTGCTGCCGTATTACCAGTCCATTTGGCTGGGGAGTATCAAAACGGTAATCTGGAGAATAACCTAAACTTTGCTGCTTCCCAGTGTCCCCCTAACAAAGGCAATATAGAAACCACAGCCAGACTGTCCAAGATCAACCTAGAAACCTGGAATGTTGTAGATTAACCAATAACAATTCAGATTGAATCGTGTGCCCTTTAGTTAAAGGGCTGCCTTACTTGTCAAGGATCCAGGCAACATCAGATCACAGGCAGCCCTCAACTTAGGACCAATCAGTCAGTGACTTTTTATAAAATATGGACAGCAAGTGTTTTATGGCAATTCTGGAAGTTGTACAGTGTTGTCATTGTCTCCTCCCCCAGTCACAGCAAAAACTACCAATTTGGAAGAATGGGTTTGTATTTACCACTGCGGCAATCACTTAATGACTACAGATTCCCTCAACAACTGCAGTGAATTGTTTGACCCGAGGAAAAAAAGTCATCAAATTGAGTCCAATCACACGGACAACTCAATTTACACATGCAATGATTTATGATATTTATATGGTCATAGGTCAAGGACTACCTGTATTCTTGAATAAATTTTCTGTTTGCCCGCCTCTGCTGATCGGACTTTCCCCCTTCTTCAGGGAACGCTCTCTGCCTCAGCCACTCTGGCTCTCTGATTTGGATTCCAGGCTGATACTTTTATGCTCTTTTGCTTTTGATCCTGCTGAAACGGGGACATTTTCCTAGCAAACTTATATGGTACCTGTGGAGAACTCTTCTGGGATAGGAAAAGCAGACACATGAGCACCTTCAAAACCAACAGACGGGTAGTAATAATGTAAAGACAGCCTCACGTAGTGAGTCTCGTCTGCAGGAAGAACCATCTCATTTTCTCAAGATGGCCGGAATGAAATGTGAAATCTTTCGGTATTGCAGTGTGGAACTGATCTGTCCCTACTAACCAATATAGCACAATTCACAGAAATTTAGGCACGGTCATGGGGCTGAAAAAGCAAACTGCAATAAATTAAATCCAAATAAAAAATGAATAAATTTTACATACTTTCTGACCCAGTAAAGCTCACTAGAACTATACAGATTCCAATGTTGGATAAACCTTATTCCTACTTGCATCCTGGCATAGTGATATGTGACAAAAATCCTTTAAAAAAATAAAATACAGTTTATAGAGATAGTTATATCTTATCTCATGTCCTCCATTTACAAACCAGACAAATTTATTACACATGTTTTTAATTAACCCTGAACTCAGAGCTGTTCAACTTGCTGTTTGGAAGATTTATACGTCTTCGTAATAATATCTTAATAATTATTAAGGGGTGGCATTGCATTGTTGACATTTTCATGTTAGACCTACCAGCATTATAGAGCTTTTATTTATGCCTAGTGACCAAGAATCTTTAGAAATCAAATGCATTTAATAGGATAAAAAGGAGTAGCTATTGCAACCAAACTCAACTTGCAAGCTTGTGTCTAACTCATAAGCCTGTTCTTCTATCAGCACCTCATGTACTGTATTTTTCGCTCCATTAGACACACCTAGGTTTAGAGGAGGAAAATAAGAAAAAAATATGAGGTGGAGCCTGAGAGGATCACAGATAGGTGTCCTCTCATGTGCCAGCTCTGCCTATTGACTCCACCACTGAGGAAAAGAGACAGAAGAGGCGGGCAATGACAAAGACAGAAAAGGTGGGGTCCAGCACTGTAAAAAGACTCCCCCCCACCCCCGGGCTGCTATTCACCAAAGGACCAGCACCGACACACAGGCATTTCCACCCACTTTGGGGAGGAAAATGCATCTTATAAAGGGAAAAATACGGCAATCTGGATACACAGCTCTTGCTGTCTTTTATATTAATTATTAACGTAAGATTATGAAAGTTGGCCAAATGTGTTACAACGCTTGCAATGACTTCTATTTTGCAAAGGGCATCAGTGAGTATCATCAATCCCATTTCCTTACGCTTCCCTTGGCCGTGAATTCGATTTCACATTCCACGTACCAGCAACATCCTTCATCCAGTTCTGTGGATTTTAACAGAGGTTTCAGGAACAGAAATTCCACTCCTCCCCCACCCCCCGCCGACATTATACATGAAAAACATCCAATATATACAGAAATGTACTGCTGAGAAATCCTTTTCAGCTGAGCTATCGATAGGTAATGGGCTGGCAGCAGATTAACAACGGATTCTTCCTCTGTCACCATGAAGGACTGGTACAGGTACATCAACTGAGGAAAACAAATGCTTCACCATCTTTCACAATGCAAGTGAGCTTCATAAGGCATTTAACATTGTCACTTTCAAGCAACATTACAGGACAGAACCCACAGCAAGCCGCTTCCCCACCCTCTTGCAATTTTTGCTTGGTTAACCCTTCTCCGGAGTCTGCTTTTCTCAAAACTGTCACGTCTTCGTAATATTGTATATGCCAGGGTGGATAAAGCGTCCATGTGTTCAGCTGACTCGTAAAAAAAAAAAATCAGAGAAAGAGAGAGAGAGAGAGAGAGAAAGTGCAACCATGCTTTTAAGCAATTTTTTTTTTTTAAAAAAAGTAATTTTCTGGCATGTGGGCTTTGAATCAAGCATCCAAATCCTTTCTCTTCACCGACCACAAGGGAAGAAGAACATCCTTTTGTGTGAAGAGTGAGCAGATTAGACCCTTCCAAGGTCTGAGGAAGGACATGAAGTATGTGTCTTGGCTTTAGGCACCCAAGGTCATGTTACGTAGCAGCCACTGCTGGGATCGGCTTTCGCTGCAGTCCTTCATGGTTGGAACCATTTTGTCATCCTCCGAGGGCTCATCAAGACACTGGTTACTGTTCACATGTCTCAAGGTCAGTCGCTGAAAAACAAACAAGCAAACCAACGTAAAGATGACGTCAGTCAGCGCAGGCGTACAGAGGGTGACAGTGAATTACGTGTCTCAGAATCGGCTTCATACATGTCATGCCGACATGTTAGCTCCTAATAAATCCTTTGAAGTTTTTGAAGCTTGGCTTGAGGGTCATGATTTAATTAGGGCAACTGCCGGAATCCTGACAGCCAGTTGGACTAGTCAATGAATTCCTCTTACCATGTTTTGGCATGAGGGAAAATCACACAGAAAGTTCCTCAGTACTTATTATACAATGACAGGAGGAACTTGGACTGCTGTGACTCCAAGTCTGAAAGGAAAGCTATAACTTATATTCCTTTGGCAGAATGACTGCTCTACCTCCTGCTCCTTGGCACTGGTCAACTTTTTCGTGAAAAACAAATGGCTCATCTTCTATGTTTAGGAGTTACTAAAAACTAATCCTGCAAGTTTATAAAAACAAAATATCTCAAAGACATTCTAATCTAAATCATTTTTCTGAACTGACCATCAACCTCGAAAACCATGGGCTATGAGTTCCCTCTCTGAAATTGTTTTAAGTTTATTGTACTAGACATTTGTTGGAAGAAGCATGGTTTCTCTATTTTGTCTTTTCTCCCATTTCTCATGGCAGTTCCTGCTCATATAATTATGTCACCCTTCCATAATTAAAAAATGATCAATTGTTAATGTGCTACAAATGTTTAGCTATAGAAAGTGGTGCAGCTTTTGGAACCTAGGGTACTCAAAGCTAAAAATAAAAGGATTTCAATTAGCTAATTGTAATTAACCCAGAGCCTCCTTCTGTTCAGGTGATGTTTCCTTGAAGAAATTAAGCAGTCCATTATGCTCATAACCATAATTCTGTGGAGATACTTTGTGCAGTTTATATGGGAAATTTCCAACGATCTTCTCTCTTTATCAGTCTCAGATCAATTTAGACTGACAAAGCGGCATTTTGTCTTCAGATCATTCTCTAATTTATCATTTGCTATATTAATGCGAATTTATAAACATTTCTGCCTTACTTTTCATCCTATTTTAGAACCTGAAACGAGGAGACTTATAAAATGTCAGAATATCAACTGAAAAGCTTCAATTAAAAACTGTTTTTTAAAAATGTACACTAAAATCCAAGAAAGCAAAAGAGCAAAGAATAAAAACAAAAATCCATTCCAGTCAAAAATATAATCCATTATAATAGATAATGTAATTTAATATTTATTATGATTGCCTTCTCCAGGGTGGTGGTCTTGCTGGAATGAGAGGACAATAATATATTCTGGGATTTCCATTTTCCTAAGCACTTTCCACAGCTTGACAAAGGTTGACAAAATGAAAAAACTTTCTATAGAGCACATATTGACTATTATTATATAATCGTATTGTGGTTGGGTGCATAGTCAGTCAGATGTTTTGACTTGATTTAGCATTTTTGTCTACCTATCACTGAATCCTTTCCAAAGACCTGGGGTAGGCAGATGCCGTTTAATAATATTAAAGGTATTATTGCAGGATGTAAACTGTTCCAATTATCCATCATTCATCTGCCAATAATCTGCTATCAATATAATGATGTTATTCAATCATATTTTTCAGGAGGCATGGTGGCCCAATGGTGAAGATGCTCACCTCCCACTCAGAAGGTTGAGAATTCAATTCTAGGCAGTAACATATTTTTCTCCATTAGGGCGCAAAGAGAAAGTATCTGCTGCAGACTCTATGTGGGCATCAGGAAAGGCATCCTGCCAGCAAATGCTCAACTGCATTCAGTCACCCCACTCCCACCCCAAAGCAAGGGATTACAGGGCCATAAAAAGAAAAAATAAATCACATTTTTCAATATAATGGTGATATTTAGCGTATACTTCTCCCTTCCCACAAGCTCAGTATTGGGTATTTCCAATCTGTAAAGTACTAGGCAGAGAGAACAAAACTGAAGTTAAACTTTGACAAAATGAAGTTATTATATTTTCCAAGAGCTGAATTTTAAGATTTGGGAGATGCAAAGCTATTTTGTATTGTGTTGCACTTCCTTTTAAAAATCAGATTTGTAGTCAAGAGTTTTTCTGGACCCAGCATTAGTATTGGACACCGCATAACACCAGCAAGGGAATTCGGATAAAAACTAATTAAACTTTTGCATTCTAATCTGGGAGAAGCAGGTCTTCTTAACTTCTTCATCGTGGTTATAGCACCTCAAAGCTGTACTGCCCCATTGCAACCTTTTGGGACAGCCCTTGAAGATTATCTGGAAATAACACAGGGTTCTCCCTCCTCCGAAATACCCTCATTGATTTCCAGTTGTTTCTAGCCCAATGTTGCACTCTGCCCGATATTCTGGCATCTTTTAGGAAACCTACCTCGGTTTAAATTAACATCAATGATTAATTCCTTTTTCTTCTGAGCAGAACTAGTATTATTGATCTTGATCTGCTAATTAAGCGGCAGCAGTTTGCTTCCAGGGAAACCGAATGCTAAGTCTGCTTTCTGTTCAGAGTCCCAAGACCTTAGCTGTTTGACCCTTCCAACTCTGTTATTCTATGTTCTAGGAAAAAGGCGTTATTCTATGTTCTATAGATGCCATTTTGTGTAAGGACTCCACGCTTTTTAAAAATGGAACTGTTTTCTTGAGATGGTTGAAATAATGAAATTGCACAAACGCCTTAACTTTTGCATTATGCTGAATTTCATGCTAAATTGATCCAAAGATGGTTTGGCAATTTCTACCCAGAAAAAAAAAAACATTCAGAAAAGTAACAAAGGAGGTTTTCTTCTTACTTTAGACAGACTGCTGTGAAATTCCCAGAGAATCACTTAAGACTATTTCATAATATGTAGTAGCCCATTGTAAATAGGTTATTTTTCTTCTAAGACGTACATATAATAGAGAGCCAAAATGCTTTAAGAAATAATTCTGAACAATGAAAGTACCATATTTTAGAATCAGTTGAATGGGAGGCTTCATGACTCTCTTCTGGATTCCAAATCAAATATAGACCTAATATGTCACCAGCTGTTTCTTTGTATTTGTTGTAGAATTTTACATAACAAAAACATGTTGACTATTTCAATGGCCTCCTATAAACACTTATTCCTACAATTCTATCATTATGTAATGCTATTTCGAAGATTTGCTTCTTTTTTGGCCAACAATCAATTACATTAGAAAAATCTCAGCAACAAAACCACCCAGTCTGTAATTTCTTTCATTATTTAGTACCAGATTAAGGTTTTCTAACATATTCAAGACATTTAATAACTCATAACACTATATTTAGCCCTTTTTGTCTTAGTCAGACAGGACTTTTCAAAAGAACAAAGATGTTATTATAACAAATTATATTCTTTTAGCAATGTGTGTATATATTATATGGGGTTCTTCTAATATTACAAGATATCATTAACAGTAAAATTAATAGAAAAACTTGTTTGCTTTATAAGTAATATTTTGAAATGCTCTGGCAAGAAAATTATAATGCTAAGATATCCATTTAACTTCTGGATTGTATTCTTTCTAATGTTAAATTTTGTACAGTGAAAAGGGCACTTTGCAAACAAGTACATAAAATTCACCATGATCATTATCGAAAGCGCTATGCAACATATTCTATCTACCACAAAAATATACAATACAATTTTCTATTTTGATTGTATTTACTTACAGTATTACAAGGCTGCTTTTCAAGTACTGCATCCAGATGGCATACACAACAGTTCCACAATATAGTTTAAAAAAAACCAAATTATTAAAACATGGTCTCAATTATTATAAGCAGAACAATGATCAACTGAAAAAGCACAGATATAATTCCCAAGGCAGGGCAATTTTCAAGCTTACAGAACTGCAATTCAGAAGGGAAATATATTAACCACTGGTGAGTGCAACTGAATTCCAAACATATTGATGAAGGCTAATATGATTTGGGGGATCAATTACTTTATGGATTTCACAGTTTGTGTAAATTGAGCATATCTTGAGAAATGTTCCTCAAGATATCCTGGCTTTGTGGTATACAAATTATTGTTTGACACTATAGACCAGGGGTGTCAAACTCGAGGTCTGCGGGCCAGATCCAGCCCTCGGGGTGCTTAAATCTGGCCTGCAGTGCCCTGGAAATAGTAAAAGACCGGCCCGCAGTGCCTCTGGCAGCAAAAATGGGGCACAGGGGGCTACACCTGGCTCCCCATAACCCATTTTTGGCTTGGACGGCCTCCTGTAGCACTCTGTCAACCAAAACAGCCCCGTTTTGGACAGCAAAGTGCTGCAGGAGGCATCCTTCCCATCTCCCCCCCACCCCCGCAGCCCACAGAGAACTACAGTGCTGATCTAGCCCTCGAAGAAATCCAGTTTGACACCCCTGCTGTAGACCAAATAGTAAAATACAGTACAGAAGCGTGGAGATGGTCCAGCAAGAGGGCACAGTTATGGTGGAGCAATCCTCCAAAGCAATTACATGTTTATTTACAAAGGCCTTCACTCTTAGCCTTCATCTCTGCAGTTGCCATGCCACCATTCATTGAACTCGAATGAGATGGATTCCAACCTGAATTCAGATAAACCAAAGTTAAAAGTACTTGACATTTTTCTGAAAGCTCACTCTTAGCAGCAGATTTTAATTTAAATCTTCCTTGACTGCACTTTTTTTATGTTGCTCTGTTACACACTCAGTTCTCATGATTGCATTTCTTTTCCTATTGTGGGTATTGGAATTATCCTGTAGTGATAAAGACACTACATAAACATGACACTCATCATTTTACAGACAAAATGGAGCATTTGATTTCTTGTCAAAAGGCATAGAAAGATTCAAAATGGCTGAGAAAATTGCTTTTGATAGTGAGATATTAAGGCTTCTAATAGTTTTACTAAACTACAATTAGCACTTATTGCACTAAATGTGAGATAAAAATTTCTTTGAAGGTATTTTTATATGGAAGGGTGTTTCAATTTGAAAGAATGATTTGATGATCATAAAGCTGTACAG